TATTTAATTAAAATAATAAGTTACAGTCTTGGTCCTAATAATGAGGTATCACAGTGTCTTTTTGTAGGTGCCTGAGTGGACAAAAGGACAAAAGCACAAGCCAGCCCTTAAAATATTTTGGTTGTATCTGTTTATAAAGAGCAGAGTCCCAAAAGACATCATACCTAAAAGTGACATAAAATAACAATAAATATATCTATAAAATATTGAAACAAAAGCTGATATATAATTCTGGATGTTTAGAGTGTGTTTTACTAACTTATTGCTAATCTCCAGATGTTATTTCTATTACCAGATTTATTACATGCACAGAGCTCTTTGTCAATATTAGGTGAGGATATCATTTAGCACCAGGTGAAATGTCCATTTATTTCTCCATTGAAACATAAATAGAGAAATAGAAATGGGATGGTGCTTCTTTCCACTGATGTTAATCCCTAAAAGAAACATTAAAAACTCTTTAAACTTCATTGTACTTCTGCTTATATTGTGTTATGTAAGTGATGTCTTACTGAGAAAGCTATGATATTTTTTCACTTAAAAGACTCTTTGAAACCCCCTCTCTTTGTCACAAAGAAAAGCTTACAGAGGCAGGCTAATCTCATCGTTCATCACAACATGATCTCTTCTACAGCCCTTATGTTCCCCTTACCTTAATGTTTGTTTTGCTCTAGGTGTGGCAGCCTTACAGACCAGACTAAATGAACCAAAAAAATGCACTAAATGCTTGTCTGCTAGCATGACTGATGTCGCCATTGTCTGCAAACTGAGAGAAGACTGATAATTATCTATTTAAAAAAGACATTTTTTAAATCTTTAATTCATACCTTTACTACAGCAACTTCTTGGTTTTGCTCTACAGGAATCTGTTTTGTTTTCATTCTTAATGATGGAACAAGAATGGTTTCAATTTAATAAGTTTTGATATCTGGCTGCATGTTTTCTCATGAAAATAAAAACTAAGGGAAGATTTGACTGAAAAGTAAAACTGTTAAGTTGAAGTGTTTTCTTTGGACATTTTTTCACCAATGCATCACACAATGTGTGGGAAGACATTTCTATTTCCAAATCATAAGTATTATCATTGCTTAACAGCTTGAAATGATTTTGAAACAGTGGTGACAGACAGGTGTGTTATAAAACACCCAGTTTTTCTAGCCCTCAAACATGCATTAGAGGAAAAACTGCAGAGGCCCAAAAACCCCCAATAGAAGATTTTAATCTTTATTACAGGCCAAGTAATTTAGTGAGTGGAATGTGCACATGGAATGTGCTTGTGTTAAAACGCAACAGGAGGGCCCTTGAAATATGTTTACTGCTGCAGAAAGTCATTGTTCTCGGGTATCTACTAACAGTCTGTGGAAATGTTCCTTTGTTTGACCGTATCCTTTATGGAAAGGGGGCGGCGGGCAATCGGACAAACATCCGGCTCTGCGAGAGAGACAACAAAAAGTGTTGCACATAACATGTGGAACAAAACTATGCTTCAAGCAGACATTAGACTTTCTGTTGGATCTATTCCTCAGACATGATGCAATTCTTCAGACAGTTTAAGATGTCGCAGTAAGAGATAAGTACAAACCAGCTGATGACATGTGGAGTGATTGCTTGTGTCAGTTGAAATAGTTGTCTCACCATGTGTGAAATGACTTCATCCAGTCCACTGCATGGGGTGATGAAATTAGGTGAGTAAAACTCCCTGAAATGAGCTAGAATTAGGGTGGAGGTTGTGTGACATTACACTGTAATAGCACCTTTTTAAATTTAAAGTGAGTTTTGGTAATTCCAGTGTAATGGGACCAGATTAAATACATCATTGGTTTGAGTTTGACCTTACTGAAAGTAGTTTAATACAAAAGTAAACAAAATTATATAAACAGAAAAAGTATTAGATTAGATTATTTTACTCATGACAAGATATTATTCCAATGTTATAAGTGAAATGTTATCCCAATGGAACTAGTAATTCTTCATCAACACTGAAGAATTATTGACTTAAAATAAACTCATATCTTGCTGAAAAGTTACTTGTACGTTAGTTTTGTCTATTTTCAAGTGTATTAAGATATTTGCACCAGACCCAAAATACTTCTCAAGATTTTGTAAGAACTTAATTACAGCATCATCCAACCAATTACCCTTCATGTTAACTTGGTTGTAACATTCTTTCTTAATTAGTATTTTCTGGTACAATGCATGCCATTATGAGAACACATCAGCCATATTAAAATCATTTTAATTTCAATAATGCAGTGGTGATTAAATAAGAAATTAAAACAAGCCTTGAAGTTTGGTTTATTTTTATTTATTTTTTTACACTACATGTTCAACTATTATTGTCAATTATTTCCTACAAAACTTTCTTTCATATCCCTCGGGAGAGCTGAGGAGAGAAACGATGTGGTTTTGAGTTCCTCTGTTTGGAAAACAGGGAGGAGACATTAGGGGTGGACTCAGGGGCGGACCTGTTGGTCCACGCGCTTATATATTCTAAAAGGCTTCCCCCTCTCCTCCTGCCGCTTGTCTGTGAGCTCCAATTTCTGCCCCTTCAGCCTCTCTCTGTCTCTCTTTGACTCACAGTCTGTCTCACTGAGTCTCAGCACTCTAGAGCAACCATGCAAACTACCAGGCAAACTGCATACTCCATGCGCTCCTCTACCAGCAGCAGGGCCCCTGCCATGTCCATCACCCGCACCTCCGCTCCTGTCTACAAGGCCCTGTCCATCCACGGCGGTGCTGGCGGCTCCCGCATCAGCGTGTCCTCCAGCTACAGAAGCTCCCTGGGAGCCGGGATGGGAGCCGGGATGGGAGCCGGCGCCGGGGCTGGGGGGTTCTCCAGCAGCGTCCAGGTGAGCGGGAACAGCGCAGACATCATGGGCAATGAGAAGTTTGCCATGCAGAACCTGAATGACCGACTGGCGAGCTACCTGGAGACGGTGAGGAATCTGGAGAAGGCCAACCACAAGCTGGAGATAAAGATCAAAGAGGCCCTGGAGAAGAGTGGACCTGACTTCAGAGACTACAGCAAATACCAGCCCATCATTGATGACCTGAGGAAAAAGGTAAGGAGGGAAGGGTGGAGGGATGAAATGGGCAGACATGGGAATGTGTTTATTAAGAAGTGTTGAAAAGAAAATATGTGATGAACCACAATGAGATGTTGGGAAATGAAAGATTTGGGATGAGTTGACCTCAAACAATCAATCAAGACTAAAGAGTACAGTAAAAGTTGCAAAATCTTACATTAGAAATATGATGAAATTAATGAACAGCTCTGGTTTCTTATTAAAATGTAAGTCCTACATGCGTCAAGGCATTTTCTTTTTTAATAAATTCCTAAGCTGCCTGCCAGACGGGCCCTAAGTCTCCACCGGAAACAGTATGGAGGAGGAATGTATCAGCGTCAGCAATCGCACAGACAGGAAACCAAAGCATAACAAAAGTGGAAAAAGTCCAACTTTAAAAGTCAACTTCCAGACCCATTCATTCCAGTTTCAACAATCATTGTCATTCATTTTATTGAGCTGAACAATAGCAGAAAAAAGGAAGACCACACAGAAAAGGGAATGTCAAGAGATGACAATCTCTGTATCTTCTTACTAATACGTCTGCCACTGTAATGAGTAATGAGCTAGAAGTAGTTGGTTTACAGATGTTTACTTCATATTCTATAAAAACAAGTCAGAATGAGTCAAAGGAGTTTTTTTAATCTAATGAATCCATTACATTTGGTTGTCTAGGTTCCTTCAGTTTTGGGAAACCCCAAAAGTACTTTTGTTCTAATATTTTCAGTAGCAGTTCAGAAGCATCAAGACCAGCTGAATTGAAATTTATTTTTTTAAATCTGAAGCAAAAATGATATGAGGGGGATTATCTTTCAAATCACTTAACAGGAAATATTTTATTGATCTAGATTTGCTTTACAAATACAAAGGGAACAAAGTTTATATAAACAAACATTGTGGGGTCAGGATGGGCATTTTTTTGTTATACTTAAAACATAAAATTGCTCAGTTAGTGCCCTTCCACCTCAGTCTTATCTGAGAAAACAGTGACTGTCACAGCAAAGCTAAACCAGACCAACACACAAAGTCAATTATCCATGGAGAAACCCACATACACACACAATCACAAGCCTGGACAAGCACACACACACCCACGCATGCTCACGCACGCACACACACAACCACCAAATCACCACCTGGGTTAGGCAAATGTTAACAGGGTAGATCCTGCTCTCCAGAGCAGAAGAGCTACCTGGCAGTTTTTTATTGGCTCATGGACTTTGTCACCTGGATGCTTACCTGCTGTTCTGCCAGCCTTATCAACCTTACTGTGACTGCTGAAGCAAACCACCTGGTTTTAAAAGTGGTTAACTCTCACTGTCCCTGAAGATACCAAAAGGCAGTGACATTTTCTCTCTAGTCCTTTTATAGGTTCATAAAATAAGCACATTTTATGATCATTTAGTTTAAAGTTGATGTTTTGTTTGTTGTGTTGGAACATATTTTTAAGTTTTCAATATTTCTCAAAGAGTTAAACCAGTACAGTTGTGTCTCATGTGTTATATTTAACACTCTGTTGCTGCTACCAGCAGTTTTCCAGCCTGACTTGGCATAAATATACACAACCAGTAAAACTTTTTTTTTTTTTTTTTTTTTCCATTTCCTTCTAAGCTTGGCTTTTGGTTGGACTACTTTAAGGTTCTAATACTACTTTCAAAACCAATTATCAAAAAGATATTGCAGGACCATTTAAAAATGTGTGTTATATTTAGCTACTTGACTGCTGCTACTGCCAGCTTGTTAGCCCAGATTTGCTTAAAAGTACGGAAACAAGCTACCATAGCTTTTTCCTACCAATGTTAGTTAAAGCCCTTAATATAGCAACTTTATCTAAGTTAGTTGCAAATCTCCTCCTAGCATTAGGTTAACTCCTAGTAGGTGTAAAACTGTTTAACTTTAATCAGTCCTTAGCTTGGTTTAGCTTAGCTGGTTTCAAATTAACATATGTAATATGAAAAACTACCTACAAATCAGATTAATGTGCTGAATAGGGTAAGTGGTATCTGTTTTTTTTTAAGTATTTTTTGGTGTCTTTTATTTCTTTAACTCTAAGATGTGTTATGGTGTGCTTTGTTAACATTTTCCAGATTTTTGATGCGACCACCGACAATGCCCGACTGGTTCTCAACATTGACAATGCACGTCTGGCAGCCGATGACTTCAGAGTAAAGTAAGACCCGCCTGCTACGCCGCTAATATTGTACAACACAAAGGCAGACATCTGTGGGCACACACCCTGTTTCACTACAGAATGGTTTTGAGTAGGGCAATGAATAAATCCTGTCATGATCTAAGGAGGCAGTCATTTGTCTCGTAGTCATAAATCAGCACCCTTGCATCATAAGCGGCGGAGACGCTGCAGTTGTGTCGTAGACATAAGCAAACACAGCTGGCCAGTGGCAGCAGAATTGAATTCTGACCTCTAAGTTTTATGTACATTCAGTCCTAAAGAAACAAACACAAAATATTTGATCCTTGACTACATGACAGTGCTCCATAACATAAGATATTCCTGATGATAATTTAGTGTCTGAAATGCTGTTTGTGTGTTTTTCAGGTACGAGTCTGAGCTGGCCATTCGTCAGTCTGTGGAGGCTGACATCGTCGGTCTGAGGAAACTCATCGATGACACCAACCTGAGCCGCATGAACCTGGAGAGTGAGATCGAAGCCCTGAAAGAAGAGCTCATCCACCTCAAAAAGAACCATGAAAATGTGAGTGTAACGCCAACGCTATTCCAGTTATGCTACTGCACTGCACAAACAAACTTCAAGAAACACTCCTGAAAACACTTGAGCAAAGGTCCACACCCTTGAGGTATCTGGATAAATATTTGTATACAAGCTCATCCTAATAACTCCTGCGTAGCTTTTTACCTAAAGCACACAAAGGTGCCATGTGGTCAGCTTATCGGATTGCGGGGCGTTCTTAAAAACAGGCATGAAAAAACTCCACGTTTAGAACTGCTAAGACATCTCAAATATCTGTGTGTGAATTCTGTGGGAAGCCTCATCATAAAATTCCTTCAGTCCATACTTGAAAACAAACACCGCAGAATTAAAATGATTGGTATTTGAGCAGAGGCCAAAACACAGCCATTTGTTTACTGAGAAAAGTATTAAACTAACTATTTACGTACCCAGACAAAGATTTAGATACGACTCCTGTATATTTATCTGGCCATAGCATATAATTATGGCTTACAGGAGGCCAGGAGTCACAGACAGGTCATAGTTCACCAGTCATCCATTGTGTTTGCTTTGCAGTAAGTTAAATACTGATTGTTTGTGCATTTTTGAGATGTCAAACAAGATCAAAAATGAAAAAAACTCTTGGTTAACAGAGATGAAAAAGAAACAAAGCAAAACATAAAACTAGTAGATCTAAAAAAAAAATGCCTGGATATTTGTTATTAAAGTGATGTCTGTGTGGTTTATTGTCCTCACGTTGTTGTAGGTACATACTTTTAAGCCATTATTAGGTACCCGAATGTAAAGATGTATGCTGTAAGCTGGTGATCCTGGATTTCTACTGCAGAAGTCTAATTTTGGAGTAAGAGAGGAGCAGTATTGGAGTTGTCTTTAGTTGAAGAATAAAAATCTGGTGACATTAAATTTGAACGAAGCCCTTCCCTTCACTTTAAGGCCACCTTAGCAGGTGGTAGGTCTTTGGAAGTTCTTGGAATTAGCATTTGTAGCATTTGAATCAGCTATATGCTTTGCTACTAAAATTTCACCTGTGTACCTCATACTGACAACAAAGAGTGCAACTTCAATGCTTTTTGGGGGGTTTTTTGAGTCTGGACTTCATTCAATCCCCTGAAATCTCATCAGATTGGAAATGAAAAAGTCTACACTGAACAGAATCTTTCACATTCTCAAAAAAAAAAAACACCAGAGATTTATAAAACCTTTAATACATCAACCTATTCACAAATATCTGGAAAATTGAATTGATCCTACAGAGCAGGTGAATTACATATAAGATCAATATCTGTTGCTAATATCTAGTGGCTACAGATTCTGGTAATAGATGTTGGCTCAACAAGAAGGCACAAACTATGGCGAATGGCCTGTACTTGTGTAGCACTTTATCAAGTCAGAGGACTCTCCTTCACACTGCATTCAGTTATTCACCCATTACCACACTGATTATGGAATCAATGCTACAATGTAGCTACCCATTGTAGCATTGGGGAGCTACCAATGCTATCCAGTGCTACAGTAGCATTGTACAGTGTAGTTACAATGATCTGGTGGTCTGGGTAGCTACAATGTAGCTATAATGTAGCTACCCAGACCAGCAGGCAAAGTAGGTGAAATGTCTGCTGGTTCACCCAAGACACAATGACAAGAAGTACAGAGTAGTCTGAACCATTAATCACTGCTTCGACGATAAACTCCTACCACTGTCACCTGAATTAGGTCTGATATATAAAAATACAAAGACCAAATATTGCTAGAATATTGCTAGAATCTTATCCTATTCACATGAAGTATTGGTTTGTGAGCTGAGCTCATTATTACAATCCTAGGGTTTACTAATAATACTTGTGTCAATTTTTGTGTTACTTTTAGGAAGTCATGGAGCTTCGTAACCAAATAGCCCAGTCTGGTGTTCACGTAGATGTCGACGCTCCAAAGGGTCAAGATCTGGCCCAGATCATGGCAGAAATTAGGGCTAAGTACGAAAAGATGGCAAAGAAGAACCAGGAGGACCTCAAAGTGTGGCATGAATCGCAGGTAAAGGATTAAAAAAAAAAAAACTGTCTTCACTCAAGAAAGCTTTTCTCCTTTTATTAATGATCAAGTGATTAACACATCTTTTAATTTCAGATTGTAGAAGTTCAGACACAGGTGTCACAGAACACAGAGGCCCTCAAGGGTGCCCAGACAGAGGTGAATGACCTGCGCAGACAGTTACAAACCCTGGAGATTGAACTGGAGTCACAGAAGAGCCTGGTAAGAAGCCTGCACTCAGCACATACTTCATTTACCTCAACACAAGCGTATTCTCCCTCACAACAATGTCCAACTCAGCACACTCTCTTCAGGTTGCTCGCTGTTATGTTGTTGACACAGGGTTAGGGTTAGGGTTAGGGTTAGGGTTACACGCTTTACACTCTGATGATCACTGTCACTGCACAGTAAGCTGTAAGCATGTAAACCCTTTTAACCCCTTCATTGTCCTTACAGAAAATCTCTCTAGAGGGAACGCTGAGGGACACAGAGTTGCGCTACAACATGGAGATAGAGTCCCTTAATGCTGTTCTCCTGGGCCTGGAGGCGGAGCTCACACAGCTGAGGAACCAGATCCAGCTGCAGTCACAGGATTACGAGGCCCTGCTGAACACAAAGATGAAGCTGGAGGCTGAGATTGCAACATACAGGCGGCTGCTGGACGGTGGAGACTTCAAGTGAGCAAAATCTTTGCAGAAACCATCTAAAAACCCTACTTCAACAAATTTGTAGAGACTAACAGAAATGGGATGTTTTCCTCCAGGCTTCAGGATGCCATAGAAGAGCAGAAAACAATGACCAAGACCAAAGTAATGACCGTCACACAGACCCTGGTGGACGGAAAGGTGGTCTCCTCCAGCACAGAAACGAAGGACCTTTAATCATAGCATGTGACTGAAACACCCAACAAACACTAAAACAAGAAAAGCAAAGTATTTGTTTTTATCAGAGTATCAAATGTTACATTCAAAGAGATACTCATAAGATCTTAAGCTATTTGTTAAACGTCACACCCAGATCAAACCGTTCTTGCAGAGGCTGATGGAAATTGGATGAGAGGAAAACAAAATCATCAGTTATTTATTTAATCTTGGTTTTTTTATGTCATTGTTTTCTGTCCTTTTGATGTTTACAATAGTTTGCAGTTGGTAGATTTTGTAAATCTATCAAGAATCTGACGAATTGAGAGAAATTTCAAATTGAAAATGGTCCAATTAAAAACTATTTCAAAATACATGTTTTTGTCTTTGGCTTTCCTTTTTCCCAATTTGGTCTGCCTGCTGCTCTGTGGTGATTAAACATTTCAATAAAGTCCTTTTGAGAAAAATCTGAATGTCAAACTGTGTTATTTCTTCCAGACGATCATCAAAGGGTCTTTTGCTTGTAAGCAAACAGTGAACGTAATAAAAAATGGACTTCCTAGGGATCCTGTATGATAAGCATCATGTCCTTCACTTTGTTCACTGATTATCTCTGCATTTACTTTTCATAAGACCTATTCTGTGGAGAGTCATTTTGCAAAAATAAAAAATCGAACAATTGCAGGAAGGTTAACTTTTAAGAGCTTTTAAGCCTCTAAAGTAGAGAAAAGACGTTTGGGTAACAATGGGTCATTTGAGCCATCTGGCGTTGTATTTTTTGGCCCGTTAGCAACACATCTCTGCCAGAATAAACTCTTCCACTTTCATTTTGAATAAAAAGTCTCTACTAGTACAAATCATGCTAGCCTTGAATACTCTATCCCAAATGAATAGAGTATTCTGTTTCAAGCCATAGTTTCTTACAGATGGAAAAAAAAAGAGAAAAACTTTTCCTAAAGCAACTGATGAATTCATAATCTGTTCCCCAAATGTGAGTAATTTATGGCTTTCAGATGGCGAGAATACACACATTTGGTACCCTGAACATCATTTGCGCCATTAATTTTGACATACGAGACTCACTTCCTGTTATCCCCCAGTTTCCATGGATACAATTTCTTTACCACACATGAAAGGTCAGCACACATTTAGTCTTTTATAGATATATTGCCTGAAAGGGGCAAAGTCTACAAAATAGCACAAATGTAATAAAGATAGAAGAGGAGTGGCAGGGAGGAGTACTGGTATTCAGTGATATATATAAGACCCCTGACACTTCCTTTGTTCTCCACTCTCAGCTGCCAGCTTGTCTGTTCCAACTTGTGTCAATTTTTCCTTTAATTGATCAGCAAACTTCTCTCAACCATGGAGTTGTATAGACGCCAGTCCTCCCAAAACCTTGGGTACTCCACTGCCTCTGGCAGACCGGCAACAGGGTATGCTTACAGCGTAAGTGGAGGCGCTGGGGGTCATGGAACCAGGATCTCCACCGCTTCATTTTCCACTCGGGTTGGCAGCAGCTTCGGTGGGGGGTACGACTACCAATCTTCTGAGTCAGCCTCTGGAACCTTGGCAATTGGAAATGAAAAAATTGCCATGCAGCATTTGAATGACCGTCTTGCCAGCTACCTGGAGACAGTTAGAAATCTGGAGAAGGCCAACAAAGGTCTGGAGATCAAGATCAGGGAGGTCATTGAGAAGAAAGGGCCCTTAGAAGGACGGGACTATAGCAAATACTATGCCATCATCGCCGACCTGAAAGCCAAGGTGAGCAAAAAGTTTTATCGTGATAACTGATGGATAGCTCACACTTTATGTAACATTTTACCCCTCTCTTAAAACCCCTGTACATGGCTGTATTATGAGGTTTACTCAGTAGGTCATTGTTCTGATTGGAAGAAGACAATCAGATAAATTACTCTTGTCATAGCATTATGTCATAGCATGAAATAACAAAAGTAACAAACCACTCCAACCATTCATCTATATATTTTCGGTAACTGTAGTTCTGTTTGGTGGTACTTAGCTCCTATTGTTGACAGCCAAGAGGGGAGTTGCATCCAAGGCATTTCTCCAGTCAATCACAAGACCTATTTCAGTCATCCAGACTGAGCTTTAAGAGCTACAGTGTTTTATTTTAATTAAAGTTTAGTTATTATGGCAAGATATCAAAATATCTTTTTAGTTGTACTTTGTGTGAAACCTTCTGAATGCCTTTTCAGACTAAGGCAGCAGTTAATTGTGGCTAAGCCAGTTTACACCTTCTACTCTATAAAGGCTCTGGTTATCTGCACTGATTTGTAAACATTTATGACCACAGTCTGCTGGTAAACCTTGCAGCACCCAGAATGTATTGGCTATTATATGTTAGTGATTGCCTCGACACAATTCAGGTACATTTTGTGACGAAAGTTATTTGAAAACTGAAAATACATTAAAAAAATATATATTGGAAAAGAAACAATTCTATTACTAATAAAATAATTTTGCTTTCTTCAATCCTTTTAGATCTTTGAGATGGTCAAAGGCAACGCCCACCTTGCGATTTCTGTTGACAACGCACGGCTGGCGTCAGATGACTTCAGAGTCAAGTAAGTATTAATGTTGGTTTCAAAATGAAAGAGTATATTCCATGCATCATGGTGTGTGTCTAAAGTAAGGGATGCATTCACAGGATGGAGTATGAGCTGTCCATGAGGCAGACTGTGGAGGCTGACGTTGCCAGACTCAGGAAGCTTCTGGATGACACTAATGTTGCACGTATGCACCTCGAAGGGGACATTGAGTCTCTAAAAGCAGAGCTGATCACCCTGAAGAAGAACCATGAGGATGTAAGTGCCTTTATCAGTATTGAGATGAGAACGACTGTGTAAGGAGAATTTCTCACCATTACTCAGGTGCAAAAGAAGCAACATTCTTGCCAAATCGCTTGTCTCTAAAGTTTCTTGCATAGGATGACCCATCTAACCTTTCAGGAAATCACTCCCTAACTATTTCCTCCCCAACAGGATGTGGCTGAATTGCGTGCCCAGATTGCACAGGCTGGGGTCCGTGTGGATGTTGATGCTCCAAAGGGCCACGACCTGGCCAGAATAATGGAGGAAATGAGAGAGAAGTATGAGAGGATAGCACTCAAGAACCAACAAGAACTCAAAGCATGGCATGAATCTCAGGTACAACACAATTCAGTTCAGAAGCTATAAATTGACGGTAGATTTTGAATTACTGTATTATGTATTTTTGAAGTATTACTCGTAGACAGTAAACATATTGTTTTGTTTTAAGATCACAGAGGTGCAGGTACAGGTGACTGAGAGTTCCACAGCTCTGAAGGAGGCCACCACGACGATGAGCGAAACTAGGAGGAGACAACAAGCCATGGACATTGAACTTCAATCCGCCCTCAGTTTGGTATGGGATTTCACATATTATTATACAAATAAAAGAATTTAGAAATGTTAGTGACAAACTACTGAATGTAAAAATGTATTGGACCTAAAGGGAGGTTAGGCTCCTTAAGAAAGTGTTGACATTTTTGGAAGGTAAACATGGATAATTTGATTTGTCCAGATGGTCTGAAACCAGAACTTAACATTTATCTAAATAAAAATTCAAAACTAGGGTGAGAGATAGTCTTGTTCTAGCTCTAGCCATAAAGCTTTAGAGAAATCAAAACACTGATTTTATTACCCAGTGGTACCATTTTATGGCAAACTAATTGTTACACAGCACCAACCAAACCTTATTATGTAATATTCTTCTTATGTAAGCTGAAAAATGTCATTTTCTGACAGAAAGCCGCCTTGGAGGCCACCCTGCGTGACGTCGAGATGCGGTATAACATGGAGGTGGAGAAGTACAATGCGATCATCCTGAGGCTGCAGGAAGAGCTAGCCAAGATCCGCACCGACATCCAGCAAAACTCAAGAGAGTACGAAAACCTGCTGAACATCAAGGTGAAGCTGGAGACTGAGATCGCCGAGTACAGGAGGCTGCTGGACGGAGGCGCTGACTTACAGTGAGTATGAAGAGACACAATGGGCAAGATGCAAAAGTGCAGGTCATGCAGGTGCAGGTGATGAAAGCATTGAGTGAATAACCACACAAAACAAGCAGTTGTTCAGCCCAGACATGAGTTTGCATATCAAATTTAAATGAGCTTCATGCAAAGACTGATGGAGTACCATTGACAGGGAAAGTAAAAGGGATTTTTTCATGCCAATGAAACATTTCAGATGCTGAATTTTAACAAGGCTGCTTTAACCTTAAAGTATCAAAACATCATTTTTAACTGTAAACTATGACTAACTGAATTTTTTCTCTTCTTCTTTTTCAATCTAACAGACTGGAGGATGCTCTTGAACAAAAGAAGGTGCAGACTAAAGTGGTGACAGTCACTCAGACTCTGGTGGATGGGAAAGTGGTGTCACAAAGCCAGGATGTTAAATCCAGCGAACAAACCTTGTAATAACCAAAATATCATGAAGAATAAAAGCTGAGATGAAAACTGCAAATCATGTGTGTGATTTCTTTTTGGTGCTTTTGATGAGTTATAGAAGCTCTTTGCGCTACTTTGGGCTGCTTTATCACAAAAAGCAGGACAATGTCTTTGTGTTAAAGATCTAAAAAGCTTAAAGTTTTGACAGGGTTTGGTTGGTAGCAAAAATAAAGAAAAATAATTAGCATCAATATAATTATTAGAATAAATATTGATGGATAATAGAAAAAGTGTCAATGGTCTTTCCCCTTTATCTGTATGACGTGAACACTTCCATTCTCCATTTTATGAAATACCTTTTTTAAGAACGACATGTAAAAGCTTTCACTCACTGTATGTTATACATACATTAAAAATGGCACAAACCCTTAGAATGTTCTGGCTGGAATGTGATTTGGCTCTGCAGACCAGTGAGGGCTGTGTAAATGATTGATTTGAAAGGAGTGGGCACATCTAGAGCATAACATGTCTGTGTTCTCAGCCAGTTGACGCAGCGTTTGGCATTCAGTACAAGCAGACATCACAATTACAGACATGTAACCTATCAACAAGTGCAATTGTATTGGATATGCATTAACTCCACATGCCATTCTTTTGTACTGGAACACTGATGCCAGTTGCTGAGAGAAGGTGCAGGACGACACCGGATATTGGAAAGTGTCCCAAAGTTCCATCTGCCTGGCAGGAGTGCAAACAATGAGTATGTAATGGTTGATGTGGTCTTATTTTGGATGTCCAGAATCTTCACAAGTGTGGGTTCATTTTTATACCTATTATTTCTAATGTTGGGAAATCGTAGCAATATGTCTACAGTGAACTTCTTCCCTATGTCAACGAATTGTTGAATATTTTAACTTACTGTCCAGAAGTTAAACATTGCTTTGAGTTTATTTAAAATATAATGGACTCAGAAACATTTTACAGGAAAAGGTGATAGAGAAGAGAAAGAAGATTGAAGAAATTACAAGT